ACAGTTCTAAAAGAACTATCTCACCTAATTCCCACCTAAGTCCATCCTACATTCACTATACTTATAGCCCACCAAGTTTTATTTTATGTAAAGATAACAGGACACTGAGTAAGGCAGAAAAACCTCACTTTTGGAATTGCTGCTCAAAGAGTCAGGGAAGTGAAGGTGAATTATAAATAACCATATGGGAACTGAAAAATTCTCTCTCTGGGTGCTGTTTCTTTTTCTTTTTCTTCTTCTCTTCTTCTTCTTCTTCCTCTTTTGGTGGTACTGGGGTTGAACTCAGGGCTTCGTGCTTGCAAGTGCTCCACTGCTTGAACCACATGTCCAATCCTTTTGCTCTGATTATTTCGGAGATAGGGTCTCACTTTTTGCCTAGGCTAGCTTGGGTGCAATCGTCATATTTTCTGCTTCAGCCATGGCAGGCATGCAACCACAAGCCCAAGGTTTTTCCATTGAGATGAGGTCCTGCAATGGGACCTAGATAATTTGGATCTCAACAGTAATGGAGCTTGTGTTTATAGGTGCACCAGAGAGCCTAGCTATGGTTGAGTGGAGGAAGGGGGTGGAGTCTTAAAAATGTTTTTTCAGGATGACCTCAAACCTCGAATCCCCAGATCATAGCCTCCCAAATAGCTAAGATTATATGTGTGAGCCATCAATGCCTTGAGGAGAAACATAAGGACCCCAGCAGAAAAACAAATTGGATTTGAATTCTTAAACATACAAGTGCACATAACCATCATTTGTCTCTGATATGCATGAATAAAAACATTCAAGATAGCATTGACTGGATTTAGCATAGATCCACAGCAGAAAAAATTACACTATTAGGCAAGAGGTACATAATTAGTGTGTCTTGTGACATAGTGTGGAGGAATATTGGGAACTGAGCGAGAGGAACGTGTGCTCATCAGCCATACACCAGTACAAGACTAAGGGCTGTATTGTGTATGCTTGTTTGGTCAGGGTATACACCATGAGATCACAGTTTCCAAAAAGCAATCAAAAGGAGGTCATTAGAAGACCTTATAGCTTCTTATACACGTAGTGTAGGCATCTGTAAAGATTCAACAACATTGCTAGAAGCAGATGCCTGTGATACCTGTCTCCTGAGAGGAGAACTATGAGGCTAGGTACTGGTGGAAGTGATGATGAACGAGATACATGACCACTCTACCTTAGGTATGGCCACACCTTCATGTAGGACTTCCTTCCTGTTTTTCTCCAAAAGTTGTTGAAGTCTAAAACCCCAGTATATGTGAATGTGTTCTTATTTGAAAATAGTGTCTTTGTTGATAATCAAGTAAAGATCCAATCATCTGTATGCACTTGATCCAGTATGATTATGTTCTCATACAAGTTAGGAAATGTGGAAACAGAGACAGGGACACACACATGGATAATTCCTTATAAAGAAAAAGGTAGTGATCAGCGTGATGTACCTATATACCACAGAGTGCAATGATTTCCAGAACAATACTGGAAGCTAGGCAGAAGCATGAAACAAATTCTGCATTCACAGCCTTAGAAAGAACAAATCCTGCTAGGCACTGGTGGCTCATACTTATAATCCTAGCTACTTGGGAGGCTGAGACCCAGAGGATCACTGTTGAGGTCTTCCCAGGCAAATAATAACAGAGACCCCATCTCCAAAATAACCAGAGCAAAAGGGACTGTAGATGTGGCTCAAACCATAGGGTGCCTGCTTAGCAAATGCAAAGCCCCAAGTATAAACTTCAGCACCGCTCCCTTTCCTCCACCCCCAGAGAGAACTTACCTTGCCTGCCAACACCAATGATCTTGAATATATGGCCTCCAGAACTGTAAGGTTTTAAATTTAAGTTATTTAAGCCACACTGTGGTAGTGTTTCATGAAGCTCTAGATAACTAATACTTGTATTAGGTAATTAGAGTAAATGGCAATTTTTAATTGATTTTTATTTATTTATTTTTAATTCTGTCATTAAGGAGCACTACCAATCAAAACTCTCCTTACTTAGGACCGACAGATGGGCACACACAAAAAGCATGTTCCCCTTTGAAGGTAGGGATTTTTACGGGATGGTGTGGGCTAACTAGGTCCAGGGATTTTTTTTCATTTCAGTGTATCTTCTTTATCTCCACAGAGGCTTTCTAGTCATGTATGTTTTAAACAAGAAGGATGAAAGTGTCACTACAATAGAAAGAAAAAATACCATGAAGGGTGTAGTAACACATTTTAATCTTCCCCTGTTTCCTGAGTAAGAACTATCAAGCTCTTGGCATTCAGAGGCCTGGGGGATTCAGAAACATTGCTCCTTCTCCCATTCCTCTGTACTCAGAGAATCACTCCTTAAAGTTCAGAATTTATTCTTCCCAGATGAGTTAACCTTTCCCTAAGAGCTATGGCTATCTCTCTAGTCAATAGGTTTCAAAAACTTATTTTGTAATAGAAGACCATTTTCATAAATCAATCACACACTCATACCTTTCTACCAGTTAGTTCATCAGAAAATCCATTAGACACTTTCTCAAAATTGACTCTCAGCCACCTTAAACTTCTCCCTGGATTCCAAGAAGAATTTTCCTACTAGCATCCCTGGCACTGCCATTGAACTAACATAGTCTACTCTCATCATTATTTTTATATCATTGGCCAAAGGGGTTTTCCTTCAAGCAGACATCCATTTTGTCCCAACTCTGCTCAAATTCAACATGGAATGTAAGGTGCACATTAGACATACATCCCTATCCCATTTGAACCAACCTCCTATTCTCTCCCCACACTATTCTCTAATCCACAGCAATGTCTTTTAGGTTCCTGCTTCAGTTTGAATATGAAATGTACCCCATAGGATTATGAGTTGAATGCTCAGTCCCTAACTGGTAGCATTAATTTGGGAGATTTTTGGATACTTCAAGAGGTTCAGCCAAGCTGGAAGAAGTAGGACATGAAAGTGCCTTTAAAAGTTATAGCAGGTCCTCAGTCCCTTCCTTGCTTTCTGCTTACTGTCTGCCAGGAGGTAAGCATGTTTCTGCCACCATGATGTTTTGTCTCACAATGGGCCCAGAAGTACAAAGCTCAGTGTCATGGGCTAAAACCGCTGAAACCATGAATAAATTAAATCTTCCTTCCCTTAAGTTATTTCTGTCAGGTATTTTGTCACAGTGATTAAAAGTCTAACTAACAGGGAAAAGTGGTAGCAGAGAAATAGAGTGGTTGCTGTGACTAAACCTTACCATGTGTTTCCTAAACCTTTGGAGTTGGTTTGCAGAAGGAATTTGGAAAAGATTAAACTTACTATGGAAAATGTAAGTCTTTTTCTGACTCTCCAAAGTTTTCTTGTTTAGATTGATTTAAATATCCAAGTACATTACTGCTATTTAAAATAGTGGTTTAGCTGGGGGTTGGTGGCTAAAGCCTGTAATCTTAGATACCTGAAGAGGCAAAGATCAGGTGAATCCCGGTTTGGGGTCAGCCTGGGCAAAATTAGAGACCTTAACCTTAAAATCCCCAACACAATAGCTAATGGAGCAGCTCAACTGATAAAGTGCCTGCTTAGTTAGTATATGGCCCTGAGGTCAAACACAGTACTGCCAAAAAATAAATAAATAAATCATAAAGATGTCATACATATCTAAAACATGTTTGGTGTAACCGATTTATTAAGTGCCTATTATGTGCTAGGAACGTTGTGGGTGATGAGAATACAAATTCTAACTATTTCCTCAATGACCTAATGAAGGGCATAGACATTTAAAAACTAAATGTATAAGTAATGTTCTTATTGAATTTGTGATAAGCTCTAGAAATTCAAAGAACATGTGCTATGAGAATGTATACAACAGATGTTAATCTAGTGCATAGGATAAAAGAAGGAAAATCTGAGAAAGGAATGTTAATTGAAACCTAAATGTGAGTTGCCAAACAAATAATATTGAAGACAAGGAACAAGGAGAAACCCCATGTTTTTAAGAAGCTGTGCTAGTTGGCAAGATCCTGTCTTGAAAAATCAAAATAAGAATCATTAAAACTAGGCAAGTATTGTGGGCATGTCACCTTCATTCATTAGCAGTAGTCTACCTTGTGGGGTCATTTTCCCCAAGTGTTGCAAAATACAAATCGAACTTCATCAAGATTCAAAGAATATTTTTTCAACTGAGTATGTAGGACCTAGAAGTGGGTTTAAGACGTAAAAAAAAACAATGCTGAAAAAAGTTTGCTATGGAATCTAAACCAGTGAGGAAAGGAAAAAAAGAAAGGTTAGAGATAATGGCTTGCAGGAAGATTTCTGATGAAGTTTGATGTGAATGAAGCATTCATTAAGAATACCTGGTATGTCAGGTGTTTTCATGGGAATGGAAGATGATGTCAAGGGTTAAGTCTCAACCTTCAAGGAACATATAAAATAGGTTTTCTAAAGATGGATACAAAGCAGATAAGTATGATAACAAATGAAGTAGACCCTGCCTGAGTCTCTTCTGAATTGCATAATGAGCCTTACAGACAGCAAAGAAAATGTCAACACACACAAACACAGCGTCTTCTGCCAGTTTTATTTTACTTCTTACTCCCTATTAATTTTATGTTTATCATGATCAAATGTATGGTTTCATTTTCAGTAGAGATTTAGGAAGTAGGTTGTATTATTCCAGAACAGTTTCCTAACAAGAGTGTGGGTAGTTCCCACTCAACTATATCCAAAACACACCCACACCAACTTTTATTTACATAGGATAATAGGACAGCATACAAAAACCTCACTTCTGGATTACTTGCTCAAAGAGTCAGGGAGGTGCAGATGAATTATAAATAAACATTATCAACGGTAGACAAAAAAAAGTTGCTCATTCATTTAAGTCTTTCTTTCTCCTTTCTCTCATTTGTCTATGGTTCTTACATGGGTAGAATGCTTAAATATCAAATAAGTAAGGGTTATAGCATCATTTTTCTGTCTTCCCATGTTACATAAATTTTACATAATTGATTTTACCTAAAATTCTCCTTCAGTGTCCACTCATTGTGTCTTCTTGAAAGGCAGAAGAAGAAGAAATTTTTCCTGGATCTGTTTGGTCTTCACTCCATAAACAAAAGGATTTAGAGCAGGAGGGATGACCACATAGAAGTTGGCAAATAGGATGAGAACATTTCGAGGGACACTGTGCCCAAAGCGATGAACAAGGATGGAGAAGAAGGCAGGTGTATAAAACATGAGGATAACACAGACATGGGAGGCACAGGTGCTCAGGGCCTTTTGACGGGCACCCTGGGATGAGAGCTGAAAAAGAGCACGGAGGATAAAGACATAGGAAACAGCAATGAAGATGACATCTGAGATGACAGTCATGAGAGGTACAGAAAACCCATACCAAATGTTGATGGAGATGTCAGCAGAGGCAAGTCGAGCAACGCCTATGTGCTCACAGTATGTGTGTGGGATGATGTGAGTTCCACAAAATGGTAACCTCTTTAGCAGAAAAACAGCTGGCAGGATGACAGAGAAACTCCTCACAACAATGCTCACCGTAAGTTTGACAATCACCCATGGAGTCAGGATGGTGTTGTACCTCAATGGGAAACAGATGGCCACATAGCGATCAAATGCCATGGCCAGCAAGGTAGCTGAGTCCACTACAAAGCTGAAGTGGAGAAAAAACATCTGAGTGAGACAGCCAGAGAAGGCGATCTCCTGGAAGTCAAGCCAGAGGTTACTGAGCAGTTTGGGCACTGTGGCAGTGGACAAGATGAGATCTGTGGTGGCCAGCACAGAGAGGAAGAAAAACATGGGCTCATGGAGGCTGTGCTCAACTGCAATGAGGTAGAGGAGGATACTGTTGCCCACAACAGCCACAACATAGAGGACACAAAAGGGCATCCCAATCCAGATGTGGAAACTTTCCAGGCCAGGAATCCCACCCAGGATGAAGGAACTCGGGTTGTAACAGCTCAGGTTGTACATGGTCTCTTCAGTCTGGGATCCCCTTGTTCTTGATTCCCGAGAACAAAGCAGCTGTCAGGATGAGGTATGAAAGCTAAAAATTCTAGTCTTGTGCTGAAAGTGTAGGGGACTGTGACTTTCACATTCAAGGCTTTTGCCTTAGAAATACGACCCTTCTCTGGGAGGAGGTGCACGCATATAATTCAGTGGCTTTAGTTCCCCCCACCACCTTAGCCATTGGCTGTACTTCATTTCTTTATATGTTTACTAATCAATCATAGGAAATGGTGGTTTCTATAGGTCATAAATTTAATATGATTAAACATAAGTAACTGTCTTTCTCAATGCAGATTATTTAAAATAGGCCCAGGTTCAGAAAAAAATGAAATATGAGCAAATGGTTGCAGGGAGAAGAAGGACAATGAAAAAGAACAGTAAAATTGCTTAACATAGTATACTGGATGAAGGTGCACTATGAGGAAAGTGGAACAGCAACTTCAATAGAGTAAATATTGTATTTTAGACAAAAAATTTGATACAAAAAACTGAAGATTTTGGATAAAATAGGAGAGAAAAATAATGAAAGGGTAAGAAAAAAGAAAGGGCATATTCTGCTGTGTACTGCTGAGTTAATATTGGAGTCTTTGTTTCACAGTGATTGAAATATGTTTTAGATTAGGATGTGTATATAAGAGATTTGAGGGTGTAAATATAAGAGATGACATCTATCAGAAAACACTCAGGGATATTATCCCAAATCAAGTAGAGAGGAGTGAGTCTGAAGGGTGATTTAGGACTCTAGAGGCAATATCCTAAACTTTAGAGGATCTTTATTCCCTTTATTCAGTAGAAGAGACAACTCTGTATATTAGTGAGTCTGACAATACCACCATAACAGAAAACAGCAAGTGTAATTTGTACTGGGCAAAGTTGAATATAGTAGATTTCCATCTCCTAGAGATGAAGTAATGAATAATAAAGATGTTGCGCTTTATGTTTTCCTTTCTGACCTTCCAGTGCTTAGACTCATCTGTGGGAATCTCTAGTTTTTCAGTAAATAAATTTGACCTTTGGAGGTGACTTTTGCATCGAAGCACGCTTTAAACTTCAACTCCCTTTCTATGATCTATTTTATTAAGTAGTTTTGAAAAGGGAAGCAAAGAGAACCTAGCACAGAGATACCAGGAAGCACAGAGTTGGAGAGGCCCCACAGACTGAGCCCTTCTCAAATAGTTTTGGAGAGGTTTGGCTCTGACCTTCCCCAATAAATTTACAAAGTCATTCAAAAAATTTCAAGGAAAGGAAGTAGACTTTGCAAAACAAGTCACACTAGGTCTACATTAGTGCACTTGTCAGGGATCTGTAGTTTTGTGTATAAGAAAAGTAGGTGGAGCCACACAGGATTCTATGACATCTCTTTCAGTCTTTTAGTCAAAGCTTAATATAAGTGAGTCTCTTTCTTTTAGTTGTGTCATTTTCAGAGTACTTTATCAGTCAAAATGAGCATATTACATCTACCTAGGAGAAATTTAACTACTTCCCATTGCTAAAGGCAGTCCCTTGTATGCACATACGCTCTAAATTATGTCTCCTGGTTTATTTAATCCAGACAGAACTCTTAGGGGCTCTGAGCTTACATGGGTAATGCAGAGTAACAGTCTTTGTGAAGTCCCTCCAAAATTCATGTCCATGTGATCTCCTGTGGCATGAAAAGTAGGTAGAAGATGCCCCAAAACGTCTCTACAATTTAGGTTAGATTCCAGGTCAGCCTCTTGGAGCACAAATTCACTGCCCCAAGCCTCACCCATCCAAAGACGACACATCTCTTTGGTTTCACAAGCAAGAGAAAAACAACCACTAATTATTAAATGTACAAAGGATAGTCAAAAAAAATCCAAAGTAAGATCTGTTGCTTTAGTCAATACTTCTTTTGCCAGAAGAGCTCTTTCTGAGTTCCTGGCTGTATGGCTGGTAACTGTTCTGTACTTAAAATGAATAGCCTCCTCCCTGTGTCTGTCTCCTAGTCATACAATTATTAGTGTCAGGACTCTTATCTCCCAGGCCATATCTTACTTGGACACTGAGTGGACTTGTGGCTGAATTGTTTGATAAAATCTCAGAGCCATTGAAGAGTCTTCCTCCTCACTAATTGACTGCAGTTTAACTCACCAGACTGTGTCTTCTGTCTCTTGGCTAACAGGGTGAATGGGAAGTATCAATTTAGAAGTGAGTCCAGAAGCTCCAGTTGTGCAATTGGTTAGGGCATGGTACTTCTTGAAGGGAGTCCAGCTTTTGACTTTAGAAGATTCTAGTAAGAGGTAAATGAAAACATTTATGCATTGCCAGTGTTCACAGAAGGCACTTCAGGTTAGATGGACTCCTTCATTCATATTTCCTAATAAGGAATAGAACAATCATATTAAGTCATTTCTCCTGAGATGGAATGGAGCTTGGGGATTTTAATAATTGACGGATACTGGACCCCTGGAGATTCAGCCTTAGGTTAAATTAGACACAGTTGAGGCACAACTCTCAGAAGTCTAAGAATATCCCTGTGGTTTAAGTATTCTATAATTAGCCTATTTCTGTATACTTGCACTAAAACTATACAAGTATTATTCAGATTTTCTATGTCTTGATATTGGAGTATAAGTCCTACAATTTTGTCTTTAAATTTTTCTTAGCTATCCTAACACTTTGAATTGATATAAAAGTTTTCTAACCCGTTTCTCAATTTACACACGCACATACAAACATAACTTGGGTATTTGCATTGATTCTATATACCAATGTGGAGATACTCAATTTATGAAAGTTAATAGATATAATGTGTCCCCATTGATGTAGTTTCTTTGAATTACCCCAGTAATCTATGAGAATGTGTATATGTACTTAAAAATGAAATACCCTTTGTTTGATGAACAATATATTAGTATTGTATAGCCACCATAAAAAGTACCACAAACTCTGGTTTAAAACGGCAGAAGTGTATTAGGTTTCAGTTCTGACACTCAGAAATCTAGACTGAGCCTCACAGGGCTAAAAGCAGAGTTGAGAAGGCTGTACTTTCTTTGGAAACTCTAAAAGAAACGGTTTTCTTGCAGATGATGGAAGCCCCCTTCTTATCTCCAAAACCAGCAATGTTACTTCTGCCTCTCTAACACTAGTCATACTTTCCTGTGACTCTCTTATTGCCTTCCTCTTCCCCTTCAAAATATTATTAGCGTATATTGATCGTACAATGAAATAATTTGTTTCATTATGACATTTTCACACATGTGTATAGTATACTTTTTTTGGGCAAGTATTGGGGGATTGAACCCAGAGCTTTGTGCTTGTTAGGCAGGCACTCTTACCATTTGAGCTATGCTCCCATGTATATAATGTACTTTAACTGTACTCATCTCTCCTATTACATGGTCTCCTTCCTCTTCCAAATACTCACACTTCTACTTTTATGTCTTTTTTTTTTTTTTTGGTTTTTATCTAGATACTGCATATGAGGTAAAACTTGTAATATATTTCTTTCTGAGTTTGGCTTATTGCATTTAACATGATGATCTCCAGGTCCATCCATTTTCTTGCAAATAACCTAACTTCATTCTCCTTTATGACTGAATAAAAGTCCATTGTAACTATACACCAAATTTTCTTTATCCATTCATCAGTTGACGGCATCCCAGCTGATTTGAATGCTTGGCTATTGTGAATAATGCCACAGCACTATGTAAACATGGGTGTGCCATATTTCTACTGTCTGCTTACTTACATACCTTTGGATATATGACCAAGATTGGTATATCAGAATCATATGGTAGTTCTGTTTTTAATGTTTTGAGTAACCTTCACACTGATATCCATAGCAGCTAGACTCATTTACATTTCCAAATATAGTTGAACACTCAATGTTGTTTTCATTTTCATTTACCTTCTGGCTGAAGATGTTAAACATTTTATCATGTATTTATTGGCCATTTGTACTTCTTTTGAGAGATTCTGCTCAATTCATTTTGCTCTTCTACTTTTAAGAATACTTGTGATTGTATTTGAACTATTTAATATACCAAGATAATCTTATTTTAAAGGCTATTGATTAGTTGTATCCAAATTATGTCTAAAATGTAATTACCTTTTACCATGTAACTTAACAGTTACAGGTTTCAGGGGCTTAGAATGAGCATATCTTTTACAGAGTCATTATTCTGCCTACCACACAGTTTCATAGAAGTTTGTAAGCTACATTTGTTGATTTTTTTTTTCCATGCTGATTGAATGTAGGGCTTTGGGCATGGGTAGGCCAGCACTCTATCACTGAGCTACACTCCTAGCCCATTCCTTACTCTTGATTAGTGTTAATGATCTAGGTATATTAGTAATAAGGGATGCAGCATTTAAATGGATCCTTTTGTATAGTTAGTTTTTCCTTGCTTTGAGCTTACATGGTGGCATACACATATATAATGCCTACAGATACTCAAGAGACAGTGATAGGAGGATTTTAGCTTGAGGTCAGCAGGAATGCTGGTGGATTACACCTGTAATCCTAACTACTCAGGAAGTAGAAATCAAGAGAATCTCAGTCCAAGGCCAGTCCGGGCAAATAGGTCTTGAGACCCTATCTCAAAATTACCCAACACAAAAAAGTGCTAGTGAAGGGACTCAAGTGGTAGAGCACCTGCCTGCAAGCATAAGACCCTGAGTTCAAACCCCAATATTGCCCCCCTCCAAAAAAATAAAACAAAAAGGGCTGGGGGCATACCTCAATGGTGGAATACTTGCCTAGCAAGCATAAGACCTTGGGCTTAATCCTTGGTACCACACACACAAAAAAAAGTTCTTTCCTTCTGAGTTTTTTTCTTTTTATTTACTCATTTATTTATTTAATACTTTGGTAGTACTGGGGTTAGTATTGGAATGGAAAAATCAAAACGGGCAAAGAACCTGAATGGATATTTCATGAAGTAAACTTATAAAGATCAATTTGTGCATAATAAAAGTGCTCACTATCACAAGTATTAAGA